CCTTTGGGCAAGCCACCGTCTGTCAGGGCCAGCCCCACCATTAGGCTGAGTGGGCAACTGCCCCAGGCAGTGGTTGCTGGGCAGCGGGGGTGGTCCCAGCTGTTTCCTCTCTGATGCGGGTAGAGCTAGAAAGGCTGAGCAACCTCTCCCGTTCACCCTAAACTAGTGAAGACCAGCGCATGTTGTCCTTCCCCTGAGGTAGTTCCCTTCCCTCAGTGAGTCCATCTTCTCACCAGCCTGCTGCTTCGTCTCTTCTCTTCCATCATTTTCACCACCTGCCTGCTTGGTGGGCAGAGAGCCACTTAGCAGATGGGAAGTGACATCAACTGCTCCAGCAGAGGGCAAACCTAACGTATTCCCTCAAAATAGGTGACATTGGCCATGACTGCACTTGCATTGGTATCCTCGCTAGAGAATAGCAATTTCCCCAGTACCTATTGTCACCGAGTGCCATTATCCTTATTCCACAAGGTGTGTGGCATACCGTAAATGGTTTTGTATATTACAGAGCAGGGATGCAGAACCTCGGAGCCATGGGTCAGATTCTCCCCATCAAGCCAGTGCTGTGGATGCATGGCAAGCACTCAGTGGGCCCCTCCCTCTGTGACTCTCCCTCTGCATCACCACAGGCGCAAGCTGCTCTTTCTGCGCCTCCTTTTTCCCATAGCTGCTCCCACCTGCTGAGGCCACTGAGTCATTTATCTGTAAGCAGAGAAGAGCATGCATACCTCCTAGATTAATGACTGGCACATCTTATCTAGCTCTCATAGCAACTTTCCAATTGCCTAGTGGAAAGCTGCTGAGCATTTTGATCAAAAAGAGGAAAGGGAACCTATGTACCAACCATGGCAGATCACATTTCATGTGCAGGCAAACAGGTGACCAAAAAGGTCTTCCTCAGAATGCTTATGAGTGGCTTGGAACTATTCTTACAAAATGCAAATCTCAGCAGATAGCAACATGGGGTACTAATTAATTTGTGGAGCTTACTAAAACTGCTGATTCTCTGTAAATGTGGCATGAAATATATTTGGAGGAATGTGGCTTGCTTTCATTGAGGAATTTTAAAAAAGTTAATATCTATTAAATCAAGAACAGAACATGAGCTGAATACAAAGCCTGACAATTTATTACTTTTTGTGCCTTAAGTGTGATTTGCTATTGAGCTATTCGTTCAGCAGGCAAGGATGCCTGGTAAGGTAACTTTCTGAAAAGGACATTGCTACACTCAGGAAACACAGATGTATAAGGAGTCTTTTAAAACCCCAAAAGAAAAATTATGTGAAAGCCCTATTTCTATTCTTTTTAAATGTAGGATTACTTTGTTTTGAAAGCGTTCTTACACAGTCCTTCTATGGCTTCTGTGCAGCACCTGAGACCCCCTGTGAGATGCTGAGGCTCTCCCTTCCGTGGTTGAAGTCAGAGTTCCAACCATAGAGGAGATCTGATCATGGACATTCCCAACTCTTCCTAGGTTGGTGTTGTGACTCCAGAAGAGGATAGGGAAGGACAAATGGCTGTACTGGGGACTCAAGTTGAGTGACCTGCTCCCAAATCCAACTCAAGTTGTGTCAGTGACTCATCTCGGACTCGACTCAGGAGCAATGAGCAAGTGACTTGACTCTATTCAAGATTTCTGTTTTACCACCAAGTCGCTCCAGGGTTTACCATGAGGCAGGATATCACAGAAGGGAGGCATGAGCACAGAAGTGGCGGTGGGAGGGATGGAGTTTCGAGGGGCTGGGGCAGGACAGGGAGGAGGGGGCTGCAATAGCAAAGACCTGTTCTCCTCTGCAGAGGAGGGCAGGACGTGTTGCAATGGAGCCAAGCTCAGGGAACCAAGGTTCAGTTTGGATGCCAGGAAGTACTTCCTGACAGTTAGGACCCTGAGGGTATGGAATGAGCTTCCACAGGAGGTGGTTGAGGCCCCATCGGTGAGGGTGTTCAAAGATAGGCTAGACATGCACATGGTAGGCAAGTCATGAATGGAGCCGGCTGGAGCCGGGATTAGACTAGATGGCCCGGGAGTACAGAGGAACTACTACTTCTTGTGATTTGGAGGTAATACTTCTGTTAATGCATCCCAAAATAGTATTTGCCCTTTTGGTGAGTGCATTGCATTGTTGGCTCATATTTAGCCTATTGTCCACAATTATTGTGAGATCTTTTTCAGTTTTGTTGAGCCACACATTCCCCATCTTGTATGGATGAATTTAGTTTCTCTTTTCTAGGTGGAGGACTTGGCACTTGTTCTTATTGAATCTCATTCTGTTGCTGTCAGCCCAGCATTCAAGTTTATCAAGATCACCCTGGATCTTCATTCTGTCTTCTAGGGTATTTGCTAGTCTACCCACTTTTGTATCATCTGCAAATCTGATTATCTTTCCTTGTACGTCCTCATCTAAATCATTAATAAAGATGTTGAAGAGCATTGGGCCCAGGGCTGAACCCTGTGGCACCCCCTAGTTACCTCCATCCAGTTTGAGAAGGTGCCCTTGGTGAGTGCTCTTTGTGTCCGATTTAGCAGCCAATTTTGGATCCACCTAATCATCATCATCAATCATCATTCACAGGCACTTCTGCCTTTAGCATGAATTTTTTAAAAGCCAGCTAAGTTGGTAGTCACATCACATCTTGCAGTAGTCAGAATTTAACTGTACGGTGTGAATTAACATGTCCTTCTGTGTTTCTTTAACCCCCCATGGTTCACCTTCATTGGAAGTCCCCAGGTCTACTTCTGGCCATCCTAGCTTTTAATGAGGTCAGATTTTTACTCATGGGGTTGTCTAGTTATTGTTCCAACTCGGGCAACTATGCATTCCATGCCATTTCTATTAAGGCACAAGGCCAAAGTTTTGTTCTTCCTAACAGACCTGCTCTTCCTCAGAATAGTTTCATACCGTATCTACTCACCAATTTGAAACCAAGTTGAATGGGCGATCAGAACACTGCCTTCGAGGCACCATCCAAATGAGGCGATATTGTACTGTGCACAAAACTTTTTCAGGTTAGGATGTAACCTGCTCTAGAGAAACCCTGCAAACCGATTTCTTTTAGATGAGTAAGTCATTGAAGAGTACAGCCTTGAAGCACTGTTAGACCTGGTCCCTGACTAGGTGCATGGGTTGAGGTGAGCTTGACCAAAGCATTTATTTACTCTCTCACATGCACGTGCATGCGCACACAGAGTCCAAAATGTTCTGCAACACGGATCTGAAGACTCACCCAGAGCTTCCATGACCCCTGTCTATTTCAGAGTCAGGTCATTACCACCAAGCTCCAGCAGGTCTGGCATGTACATCAGAGGCTTACAAGTTTCTTTAAACCATACTCTTTATCAGGTTCCAGCCCTGCAAAGTCTGTGACTCAGCCAAATTGAACAATTACTGGAAAAAGCTGCCAAGGGAACTTCTCAGAATAGAATTGGCTGTAAGATACAGCCACTAAATAGGCTAAGATCTGTATCTAATCAATGATTAACATGTCCGGGATTTGTGGCGGCAGCTGCTAAGCTCACCTTATTGAAAGAGGAAGTCTGGTCTGGTTTCTTAGAGCAGAAAGAGGCATGTGCAAGTTTTGCTGACTGCAAACACCAAGTGGAAGTTTGTAATTCCAGTCCCTATTTTGAAAATGTCGTTTTTGCATTCCAATCTGTCTCCATGATCAAGCTACACGTGGTCAGATGATCAACAGCCAGTGTGATCCATTTTTCAAGGGTGGAAAGAGGGAGAATGACATCTAGTTCCCACTCCCTCAAAGGCTGATTAATGCTTTCAGCCATTTTCTGACAGAGGCTTTGCATGTACAAGCCTGGCAGCCGGATTCGACTATGAATTCTCCTTGGCTCAGCTTCCATTTATATGATTTTTTAAAATCCAGCTCAGGTTAAGAAAGTTGGTACCCATGCATGTTCCCTAGATAGCCTGTGGGGAATAGCTACTGGAGCCATGCTGGCAAGGATGCAAGCTTTAAAAGACAAGCAGTGGTTTTTCATGCTGGCATCCTTGGTTTTAATGCATGCTAAACTGTGGGCAGATTGCCAGAGAGCACTAATGGGTCCAGTGCATTGCTACCTATACAAAATGGCAACTGCTCTGCTCTCCTGGAGCATAAACCAAGAACCTCTCCGGATGTCCTTTGCATGGACTGCTAGTACAAAGATGTCTCTCTCCTTGTTAGGGTTCTCAAAATGGAGAGAGTCCTGCACTCTTAACCACTACACCACACTGGCTCTCATCTGTCAATAGGAAGTGGCAGGAAGAGCTCTCAACTCCTGCTGCCCTGCAGTCCCCTCTACCACAAGAATGCTGCCCCTATGTCTCCAAAATATTATTTGGCCTTGGGGCTGCAAAACAGTTCTGTGCCCACTCTAACCAGCTAATGGGAGCAACCCCAATATATACAGTGTGGCTTGTACAGCTGCTTCCCAAGGTAATGCCATGGTTACTTGGAAGGGAAGTTACTTGCTGTTCCCTAGAACATATCCTACAATCTCTCTGAACCACAGGAAACTCTTTCTACAAAGGGGACATTCCCTTGGGATGTAATTGTTGGAGGGTGCATGCCAGGGGCCCAAGGTGTTAGAGACAAAAGTGGACAGGACTATATCCAAGGGAGGATTGTGATTCCCATGTAAGTAGGGCTTGTTACCCATTGCAGCTTTTATAGGAAGTTTAGATGATGCTGAACTAAAACTGGGTCGAGGTTCAGCCCCATCAATTGCGCCTACAATGCTCAAAATCAAAGCTAGAATGACAAAGGAGCCCCAGTGACATAGGAGACACTAGTTGTCCTGGCCATACTTTTCACTTGCTTTTCCTCCCACTCCAGAGAAATAGCCAGGGGAAGGAGAAAGTGCCTGCGGAGAGCTGGTGAAGTTATGTGCAGGGCTGTGTTTGGTTCCAGGGGCAGAGCTTGCCCACCTATGCATTATTAAAACAAGTTCATGTATGCTGAAGTGTGGGAGAGCAAATCTTAAGCAATCACATTGATTTCCAATAGACCAAGAAATAGAGAGTTTACTTTTGTTTTCATAAAAGACAGAAAATATATGAACATCGGGAATATTTGGGAAACACTTCAAAGAGTATCTCAAAATATATATTTATCTTATAATCTGTCATATAAATAATTCACACAGCATTATAGTGGTATGGGGCTGTGGGGGGAATATTTCACTCAGCCAAGGAGTCAACACCATACTTGTATTGATACAGGTTCTAAAAAGCAGCAGAAGTGATGGAGTATATGTTCTTTGACTTAGGGAGTTGGAGTAGCCACATTGATCAGCTGCTCTGGATAAATAAGGAAGGTTAAGTGGAAGCTTCTGTAGAAAAATGTAATCACTCCCCTCATAGGCTTGATGGCTTGTTTCTCTGTGTCTCTGTACAAGTCTGGAGGGGTGATGCATTGCCCACTACAGAAGAGGGCTTTTGTAGGCATGATGCAACTCTTGGGGGGAGTTGCGTACCATGTCAAAGTGAGGATATACCCAAATGTGGGGTTCTCCTCATTCCAGAAGAAAAAAAGTCAAGTCTCAAGCTGTGCCGACAATTTTTCCATCACTGCCTACCAGGTATCACTGGTTTGAGGCTGTGACTTCATGGAAGCACCTTGAACGATGCCTTGCTAAGCAGCACCTTGATATGGGCCAGTCCCACCATTGTACCAGTTGCCATTCTTCACCACCGGTAAGTTAGCAGATCCCATTGCTCTTCTCTCACCGCATCAGCTGTGGAGGCTTGTTGAAGAGAGCAGATGTCAACAGATGTTGCTGTCAGGATTTGCTTCCCAGTTGCTTCCCCTCTGCCCTTCCCGAGTGGGCAATGGTGATGAAAGCAAGTCTCTGGCAATGGCTAACAACAGTGGGGAAGCTTAACCTCAGCATCCGGATTGAGCGATCTCTTCTCCTGAACGCTTTGTTATAGACAGTGTGGTGAATACCTGGAAAGCACAGATGAGGGAGAAGAACAGAGATGACACTGAGACGAGTTAGGACTGCTTCACACTCCACTCCAGTGCTGCATTGACTGTCCTGAAAAATGAGTTTTACATGAGCCTGGACTTGCAGAGATACAAACAACTTGGATTTTATTTTGAGACTGTTGCTAATTCTATTGTTATTGTGATTATTAAAACTTCTTCTTTTTGCAAATATCATCTAAGACGACGAAGAAAAAACTTGAGGCAATTTACTTTGAAGTTAAAACATACAAAAACTTGTAACAATTTAGAACAGCTCTAAACAATTATCAATAAAATAGCATAAGAAGCATTGCATTTCCAGAGCTTCTTTGCTAGGGCTCATTACAACTCTATTTGCATTTTAATTTGACCAGGGATGGGGCAGGGAAGAAAGAAAGACACCCCCATGCAAAAGCTTTCTACGCTTTATATTGTAAGCACTGTTGCCCTCATACAAAAGGAAGTAGCCATTCTGGCTAAGGGGTGAGATAGAAATCTAATAAATCAATAAAATGTTAAATGGAAATCATGTGACTTTCTGCCTTAGGTACCTCTTATCTTTAGGCTCCAAAAAATTCCAGAAAGTGAGGGGAGGGGTGACATATTCTACGGAGAACTAATGAGCAGCTACCGGTCTGTGAATCAGAAATTATTACTCCATGGATGGATGAAAACCTACCCAAGATAACAAGATCAAACGCTTTCTTTGAATAAATTGTACTAGGTGAATGGGTGTGTCCAAGCATTCTCTGCATCTCTAGTTAAAGACTACGCATTCAAAAGGCAAGCTATGCATATACAATTCATCATAGGTGGTGTTGTGCCCATGGGGCTATTTGTTTATACACATTAGGAAGTTTCAACTGGCAGGAAGAATCCATGCATACAATTATCACTATTCCCAGCACCCCTGCAGTTGATGTTGGGCAGTAGGTCTCATCCCTGACCATGGGCTGGGCCAGCTAAGGCTAACAGGAGTTGGAGACATACATCATCTGGAAGGTGGCAGGTTGCTCATCTTGATCTTCATGCTAGTTCCTAAGTGGAATCACGCAGTGGATGGGCACTTTGTAACTGGTGGGATTGCTCCCTGTGTTTGATGTGCAATGAAAGGTAGCAGCGTCACCCCAGATAACTTGGTCAAAATGGTAAAGTGGAAACCTTCCCATATCAGCACACATGCTAAGTGGAAATTGATCTTCTTACTATAGGAACCATTGCAATGTATGCGCTAGTAACTTCTCCTCCTCCTGTTCTCTCCACTCCTCACATTATTATTATTATTATTATTATTATTATTATTATTATTATTATTATTATTATTATAACATTTCTATGCCGCCCCTTGCCGAAACCTCGGGGCGGCTTACAACATGATAAAATACATTGAAATACAATAGTAATAGTACATTATTAGCCTTTCTGTAAGCTTCCCTGCACCCCAAAATTGTAAGCTGCCCCGAGGCTTCGGCGAATGGGGCGGCATAAAAATGTTTTAATAAATAAATAATTAAATAAATAAATAAATAATAAAATCAAAGCACCAGCTATTTGCAATTGCATCTCTCTGTACCTCCTTCATTTCTACTATATACTTCCTTAAAAATGGGATCCACAAGAATTGTATCCTATCCTGCTAGATCCTGGTGTTAGAATTTGATCTGCTGCGTGGCCTGAACTGAAAAAGTGGGGTAGATTCAGTCTATGTGCCACCCTCTGAACACAAGAGGGAACTGTGGGGAGAGTAGCCACACTCAGAAGTGAGGATTTGTTAAACTGGCTTTCCACAATCTGCTTCCTTGAGACAAGACCATCCCATGACATGCCACTCAAGGACAAGATGGCAGCCCTCCCCATTCTAGGCAAAGAAGTCACCTGGACAACAGTGGTGATGGGCTAGTACCCTCCACTCCACCTGAAGCACCTGAAGAACTCAGGCAGCCATAACTGGTCTTCAAGGGTGCAGCATTAAGACTTTCACCCTTAGAAGTCCCTCAGTTCCAAGTTTAGCAAGCACATTGAAAAGCAAATTACAGAAAATGTGGTAAGCTGCTTTTAGTAAGGTTTATTGGACAACTGCAAGCTTTGTTTTGCAGACCTATAAGTATAGGTGGGAGGTTTACAGGAAATCAAATCCACTTCGGTCTAAATGGTTCAAAGCTACAGTAATTAGCTGGCATCAAAGTCATCTCTGAGGGAGAATAAATTGAGAGGAGAAAAGAGCATCTGCATGTGTTAGCCATGCAAATAAGCCTGACACTCTTGCAGAAAGCAAAGAACTGGACTACTTTTGCAGGCTGTAAATGCTCCAAATGCAAAAGGCACTTTGGAAACACACATCTGTTCAAATATAAACAATTCCAACACAACCTATTTATTTCCCTCAAATGCAAGCTAATAACTAGAGTCATTTGCATGAAACCTTTGCCCTTTAATCTCTGGACTGTTTACCACATTACAATCGTACAAAGCAAGCTTTGACAAAACAAGCAGCAATTTAAATTAGTTTAAATTCTTCTTAATCCTATATTTACAGAAAAGGATTTACAGGTTTTGTCTATTCCCCACCCCCCCCACCGCAGTTTACAGAAAATTACTGGAGGGAAAGAAAGGGCAAGACAGCACCAATTCAATTCCTTGGGGTGAGAGGGCTTGGTGGTTTTTTTAGATTTCTATTCCATTCAAACCTACATTTTAATTGCCAATTCATATAATTGCACTTGTTTGTCCACCATACACAGAAATATTCTGTTCTGTAACAGAACAGGAATGTGCTTGGATTTCTTGCAATGTAAAGCATTGGAGCAAGGAACATTCTCTCTTACACAAAAGCCATCTTTTGTTTTTTGTAAACCATCCAGAGATGTTTAGTTTAGTATTGGGACGGCATATAAAACGAGAGAGAGAGAGGAAGGAAGCTAGGAGACAACATGAAATTGTGGTTGTGGTGGTGATGATACAGGCTGTCACCAGGGCCTGTGTTGTTGTACTTCTTCTTAAGAGATTAAGCATTATTTGCATGGCACATGACCAGCGGGAAAGAGAATAAACTATTTATCTATTTTCCTATGCACATGTTTTGTTTTGCTCGGAGCCTTGTAACCCTCTGCCCCATGCTGAACCCCAGCATCATTTCATCCCCCTGGGAAAATGCTGGGGTACATCTAATGACCCCAGAAAGCACATAAAATAATATAGTCAACTTTTAAGGTGCTACAAGGTTCTTTTTCTTGCTGAAGAAGACTAAGAGGGCTACCTTTCTGGAATCCATTACAGCTTCAGGGCTGAACTCCATTTAGAGAAGTTTCTGATTGGTGCATTTCAGCAGTGGGTGGCAAAAGTGAACAGAATCAAAAATACACACACAAGCCCAAAGAAGATACCAGCATATTTAGCTGAAATTTCTTACTGCCTGTCACCAAGCCTTAGGAAATATGTTTCAACCTTTTAGAATGGGGCAGAAACTGTACAAATACCAAGAAACCACCAAATAATTTGTAGCTTGGTTAAGAGTGTCTCACCCTTGCTATGCGCATGAAGGACTAGATCTGGCCTGAGGTTCCACATCCCTGGGATAAACCCTTGGTCTTATCCAGCCTGGTTCTTACAAAGCTGCCTCTTCTCAAGCTGGACCACTGATGCATCTAGCTTAGTGTCCTACTGTACTGCCTAGCAGCAACCCGCTAGGGTTTCAGAAAGGGGTCATTGCTCAGCCCTAGAAACAGATACTGAGCCCTTCCAAAAATGAAGCACAAACCCAGTGCTTCAGTGAAAGAAAAGAAATTGGTCTAGTTCTCGAACCCCCAGAAAAGGAAGGAATCTATGAGAACTACAGTTTTCTGTAAATGAATCCCACATACGCACCTCTGCACAGACTGGGTGAATTCCTATTGTGCTATCCAGCTGTTCTTTTGTCATTCCACATTTTATGGCTGCTGCAAATCCTTGAGTGATTTCTCCAGCATTTGGACCAAGGACATGGAAACCGATAACACGCTCCTAAGGAACATAAGCAACAACCACAGCCTGATACAGGTAGGCCAAAGCAATTTTCTTTAAATACCTACAGATTACTTACTCCTAAAAGAAATATAATTGGATCTCCTCCTAGTCCAATTTACCTAATGGAAGGATCTGAGCAACGAATGTACTTAATTCAATTACGATAAATCCTGAGGCTTAAATATATACAAATAAGATGACAACCATGATAACTCTTTCTTGCCCTAAATATAAGGCTCATAGTTTACTATATATATTTCCTTAGTTTAAATTTTTGGCGTAACTTAAATCAAATGCGAATTAAATTAGTGTGACAAAAGGACTAAAGAATTTTCATTTTGTTGTTGTTTTTAAATAGATCCCCACTGGTTTTAGTTAATCCTCTTGTCTCGGCTTCTAAATAATTCCACACAAAGAGCTTTTGAGCAACAAAAAAGGCAGTGAGATAATATGCCAAACCATGGCTTCCTATTTAGTGTTGCTGGAAAAATCTGAAAGCAATTCAAATGGTTTTAGATTTCTATAAATTTGATCCATAGATTCTGCAGTGGACTGGCATCTTGAGTTCTGCAGACTTTAATTTATTATTATTTTTTTAAACAGTTAACCATTTGCTTCCCTTTCATGATAGCCACAATAAACCACCCCAATGGCGTCCAACCACACGAGCCCCAGCTCGCCTTGACATCCTCTGCACTTGGTTAGAACTGGCCCTTTGTAGGGAAGTAAGAGGGAAGTGAGCTTTCACATTCTATTTCCTACTGGCCTCTCTGCATACCACTCCCTACACCACCTCGGCACGTGATATCAAGCTGCCAACTCAATAGTGTCAGAAAAGGTCATAGCATTAAAAAATGCTGCAATCCTACACATTCTTAGACAAAAAGAAGTCCCATAATTTCAAGCATGCCTCCAGCCAGATATGCTGGCAGGGACACACTGGGAACTGAGAGACTTTTTATATCTTAACATGCATGGGACTGTGCCCTTAGTCTTTAAGGTACCATACAACTCTGCTGTTTAAGGTAAGATTACTTTTTTCCTTTAAAACAGCAGGTTCCTCGGCCCTATCACAAACTGCTTTTGAGAGACCCCTGAAGCTGAAAATCTGCTTGAGTTAGAGCACAAGGATCCATTTTTCCTCACAGTTCTTTGGATTCCAGCCATTTTTACAACATGAAAACTAAGGTATAGACACCTATTAACCAGGTATTATCTTGTGCAAAGATAATAGTGGGATACTGCTGAATTACCAAAGTCTAGCTAAGGTATTATTACACAGTTACAAAGGTGTTAAATTCAGAGGTGAAGTGGATTTGTGGGTGGTTTTTAACCAGCCAATACTTTCAAGTAAAGATGTGCATTGTCATTATAAATGAGCTTTGAAACAGACATAGCTTTAGTTGATCATGGGTATTATTTCTGAATTGTATATAATCAGGTTGCATTTTACAATCTATTCAAAATGAGCACGAACAAAAACTTTTCTTGCTCCTCCAGAATGTGCATAATGCTGCGGAAAGCCAGGAATTTGCTACAGACTAGAATTACCTGATCGGCAATATGACAGATGATCTTCGCATAGCATTTATTGTTCTCTCGGGGTGCGACAGTCCATTCCAGTGGAAAGAAGTAATTGTGGTATACCTGGGAATGCAATAAGATGTATAAGTGCAAGTTCTCTGCTTCTGGAAGAGAGCATGGACGGTAAATATAAAATGATGAAAATTAAGCTGACATTACACCTTACAAAAGAAACAGTCCTGAATATTTTTAAAGAGACAAGATCTTTCATAAAATGCCACTTGGTAATTAACTTGCAAATCAATGTCACTGCTGTTTGAGTAAGACCTCTTATCTTGCAATACTTCTATACTAAGTTTCTTCCATCGCCCCATTTGAAAGGGCATACACGCGATTTTCAGGTAGTCACCCACCCCAGCACTGACCAAACACAAACCTCTTTAGCATCTGTGTAAGTGCTATATGGATGCACAGACATGTGTGTGTACGGGCAAAGAACTGAAACATACAGCAGGGAGAGCAATAGGTGATGGCTAGAGCTGTTCCCGTTCATACTATCAGAGCTTTGTCAGGGCAGTGCCACATTTTGCAACACACACACACACACACACACACCTGTGTTGCACTACTATTTGCATCAGCAAAAACAAACAGCTTGACTTGCTCCTCCTCCTCTCCCATAGACATCCCTACACCCCCTTTATCATCACCCATAGATTTCCAGTCCCAGGCACATGGATACTTTACGTTGCAGGCCATCACTTGCACAGGTCTGCTGTTGCAACTGTGTGCTGTATAACCAGGAAACCACTGGCTGCTGAGGAGGGCTAGACAATGTTCCTTCACTTCTACTCCTGATTAGTGAGCTGAGCCAGCTGCAAACATCTAGAAACCTTGCATACTTCATCTCAAATTCTATGATGGAAGAAAGGGGGGGCAGAAGTATAAGTGGTTTAAAAAAAAACCAGGGGTTAGAAGTGCTCCCATCTTTTGTGGGGAGGTCCTATTTGGCTACCATACTGGCATACGCCTACCATCATTCCCCTCACCACTCGCTATGCAGGTTAAGGCTGATGGGCATTGAAGGCCAGAACAGTAGGCAGGCCAAAGTGACCCACCTCTGCTGTGAGTGATTGGAATCCGAACCAAAATCTGAGCTTCAAGATCCAACAAGAAGATGGGCACAAGATAAGGATACCAAATGCAGATTTTTTTTCTTTTAAAGAAAGAATACCTCAATATTTTCCTTGCCAAATTTCTCGATTGCTTTTTCTTCTGCGTAACCACAGGTACCATATTCAACTGGAGTGAATACTGTGGTGGGAACGTTCACGTAGTCACACTGCCAAGGAGAGGAATGCTCACATAAGGATCACAGCATAACACAACAGCACACGGAGGGATCTCGCGGAAGCTCTGTTCAGGTGTTGCAAGCCTCCACTCAAGGAGTTCCAGGGCCCATCGTTTTGGGAGGAGCCTTCTCAAGCAGAACAATTCCCCACTGCAGGCTCATGGAAGGAGACTGCCACAGAGGGGGCAGAGCTAGCCATGCTGGCTGTGAGTTACAGTCCAACACAACTAAAGGGCACTAGGTTGGAAGAAGCGGGGCTGGCCCATTGGCCCAGTGTGGCTTGAAAGCTGCAGAAAGCACACTGGCCTGCAACAGATTTTAGGAGCAACTGAAAGGGAGCACACACGAAATGCACGGTGGGTCTCACAGGCCCAATGCACAGGTGCTCATGTGTGGAGTGGGTGGAGTGGAGCTTGGGCAGCAGCTTGCATTCTTTGCATGGGGTGGGGACAGCTTGGAACTCTGTCATTCCGTCCAGTCAAAACTGGGCTGAATGGAATTTGTGGTTCCTTATTAACTGTTCATGACAGTTTAGAAAACTTCATTTCAATACAGCAGCACTGTGTAACTTGCAGGCAAAGCTGGGCAGGACACTGCTGTCATTTAGTGCCACTTCGGTTTTTGCCCTAAGGGAGAGGCAGTGAATCATCTCACTGAACCTTTCAGTCCATGGGTTGAATGCCATTTTGAACAACCTCTTAGGAGCTGTCTCCCAGCTGTGGGCAGGGCAAAGGGGGCAGAGCCAAAATGCCAGCATATTACATCTAAAAGCTCTTACTGCTGGTAGCCAAGGTTAGAAGAAGGCACTGCAACCTTTCAGAATGGAAGAAAAATCTGCATAAATTCTACAAAACCACCAACAATGGTTGGGAGCAAAGGGGGCATGACTTTTTGGGGATCCCAAGGATCAGGATGGAGACCCCAGGAAAGCCAGATTTGGCCCCAAGCCCAAGGTTCTGCTTCCCTGCTCAAAGATGATACCAGCTGCAAAACACACATGCATAATTTTAAAACAGAGAATGCATTTGGGGGGATTTGGAACCTTTAAAAAAATTCCTTGCAAATTTAGCTGATTTATCTGCTAAGATGTGTTTCACTATGAGAGAATCCCAGGGATAAGAGTGACCTTACCTTTTTGTCTGATCCCCCGTAAAGCCTCTGTGCCAAGAGCCGGCCCGCCTGGATGGCCACTGGGGTGAGTTCCAGCTTGTCCTCCAACACATCCCCGATGGCATAGATGTACGGCACGTTTGTTTGTTCCTCATCATTGACAGGGATTTTTCCTGTTCTGAAAGTTGATTTAACATGAAAGATGTACATGGTGGAGATATGACTTTAAGCAATCTGTAAGCTGTGGGTTAGTTGTGGATTAAAAATACCACAATCTCATTAAAATGATTTTGGCCTATTCCCAGTGCAAAAGAGCGTAATACAGCCTGCCACAATCCTAGCCCTGTCCATTGTTTTGGCTGCATCTCTCATCATCCCTGGGTACCTCTGGTCCAAAGAAAAGGATGAAGCCACATTTGTTGAGCATGTCTGTGTTTGGTTGGTGTGTGGAGAGCACTATATGGTTCAGGGGCTGAAAAGTTCTCAGCTCAACCCACTTGTTTCGTTTCCTATCTCTTTTTTTTTGGGGGGGGGTTGGTTTTGTTTGTTGTTATGTTGTTTATTTTGTATTTGTTTTGTTTTCATTTTGTGTGTGTGCTTTGTCTTTGTTTTGTTGTTTTCTTGCTCAGGCTGAGAACTTTTCAGCACTCTTTTGTAAATAACTATCAGTGCTAACTTGAACCCTCCCAAGGAAAAATGGAATATAAATGTAATAAGCATGTAGAAAAGTACTAAGAACAGAAGGAACATGAGGCATCAATGGGACAGGGCAAGCATGCAAGGATATTTTAAAGGCTGTCAATTATGGAAACCAAAGAAAGCCTAAAAGGGTGAGTGTTTGTGTGAATTTTACATAGCTATTTGAATGTATAATTAGGCCACTATACTGCAGTAAGAAGCAAGCTAGCAGAATGCTTTCCCCGCTCTGTTCCATGCAATCCTCAGAGTGAGGTAATGCAGCTGCCTTGATGACTAGACTACTAATCATTACCACTTTAATTATTGCAAAGTTTGCCCTTTGCCCTGTGTAGTAATGAGTAGCTATATATTAAGGAGTTCCTCCTTGCTGCAACAAAAATGTGTTAGGAAGGAAATTTATGTCTCTCTGACAAATTAAGTCCTTTAAATCTACAGACGACGTGGCAAAAAACAAAGACACATGCGCCATCATTAGACAGCGAGGAAATTTAGCCTTACTTTTTATTGATCTCCACTCCAACTTTCTCTAAGCCAATTTTTCTTGTGCAGGCATCCCTTCCTATGGCAACCAATACCTGCAGAACATGGTGCTTGGGTTAATCATTTGTCTCCTGGGAGCTTAAGAGGGAGCTTAAGGGTATCAGTTATTAAACAATTACTGCATTAATTAAGGAAGCCAGTGAGAAGATCCACTCATTTCTAACTTCATTGTGAAGAACATTCACACATAACATTAAGCCACAGTTTATGTTATGAACATAAGGATACAGGAAAAGTCATGCTGGATCAGACCATGCGGACATCTAGTCTGGCATTCTGTTCACAGCAGCCAACCAGTTGCCTGTGGAAAACCTACAAGGAGGGCATGCATGCAACAGCATCCTCATGACCAGGTTTCCCAGCAGCTCGTGTCCACAAGCATACCGTCTCTGATGATGGAGGCAGCATACAACCAGCAGGGCTAACAGCCATTGACAGGCGTAGCCTCCGCGAATTTCTTTAATCTTTCTTTAAAGCCACCCATGTGTGTGGCCATTACTACATCTTTGGTAGTGAATTCCACCATTTAACCATGGTTTGTCGTTTTAGATAGCAAGTGTCTTGCAGATGAGCAAACAAACCACGACTGTTCTGCCTGTTTCTAGTTCATTTTTCTCTTTTTCTCTGCAAGCCTTCAGTACAGTTTTCAGGCTGCTCTTGCTGGACACTTCTGTTTTAGGGTGGACAACAGAGCAAACAAGCCAGGGATAAGCCATGGTTCTGGATTCAGACATCACAACAATCCAAAAAACAACGAACTATCGGTTCAATTTGTGGTTAGTGGCCAACTAACAAACCATGGAAACAAGCTGGATTTCAACCAGCCACCTCATAGAATCACGGAATTGGATGGGACCTATAAGGCCACCGAGTCCCACCCGCCTGCCAATGCAGGGCTCCAGGTTGGTGTTATGGTTTGGTGTTATTCAAACACTAGTCCATAAGGCAGACACAAATGGTGGCATGAACTGGGGTATACAAGGAGATGGCCAACAGCCATGTCTACCACTGAGACCACATTTTTGCAGCTGCTGCAACGACGTGAAGAGCTGAAGTCATTTGCCCAGTTTGTGCTGGCCATGTCTTTCCCCACACAAACACATACATGGCCATGGATGATAGCTGCCCAGGTATAGAAGAGGTCTGAGCATCTGATCCATAACTTTCATGTTAGAAGACCACATCAATTTATTAAAGCCATCCAATGCACAGTTAAACAGAAATGCACGTTCCTTACCGTGTTGAATTCTCCTTGATACACCTCAGAGGTTTTGGTACATTCACCTGTGACTCTTAGTAAACCAGGATTTCCTTCTTCAATCCTTTCAATCTGAACAATTTTAAAAATTAAGTATTACCATTCTGAGAGAGAAGCGGATACATTTATTCAGTCGAAAATATAACCCCTAGAAGTATATTTTAACTCCTGTGGTGTGCCCTAAAATAGAAATAATTTGATGCAGGGCCTCCAGGGAGCACAAAGTTCATTCGTATGTCCCAGAACTGACGGCTCTCATACTAAAGCTGCTTCTCCCAAAGGGAAACTAGTAATTTCACAAGAAGGAAACAGACTTTTAAGCTATTCATGGGTGGAATTTAACCACCCACTCCAATGACCCATTCAACATATGGCTGCTATGAATTATGCTAGAAGTTATATGGGAGCTGTGTTGGAATTTGTATAGCTGCCTGGTCAAAGGAAGAGGAAGAGATGGGATGGGGTCCAGTGAAAAGGGTATGCAGGTGAGCAGAGCCCACCATCTCTCCACTTTCACCTTCGCACAGGAGCAGAAAGGTAGGAAAGGGCCTGATGGGAAAGGGATCCTGTTTGTGACAGGATGAATGCCTTCTGCTATAGACTCCTACAACTCAGCTTAGGTGTGATTTCTACAACCACCTAAGTTGTGTCCTATATCATATATGAAACAATGTAGAATTTGATTGATATTCTGGAATATGACAGACATTGTTAGACTCCCATTCCCATCATCCTTTAACCAATGCTGGCTAGAATCTACAAGAGTAGCAGTCCAGCATCTAGACAGCCACAGGCTCCCCACCTGTGCTAGAAAATTATTCTCCATGAGGGTATTCAAGAACTGAGGAGGTATCACAGGCAAGGTCCCCTTCTCTGGTAGCCACCTACAACCAGAAAACTGTATTCTGGAGAGGTGAAAACTATTTTAACCATCACCATTCCTACAGACATGCCATATGGAAAGGGCTGCATTACATACACACTCCCTATGTGCTGACCTGCCCCCTGAGATCGGAAGCAGAGGCCCTTCTCCAAGACCCTCTTTGAAGGAAATTAGGAGGGTAGTTACTCAGAGAAGGGCCTTTTCAGTGGTGGCGCCCCAACTGTGGAATATACTCCCCAGGAAGGTTTGCCTGGCACCGCCACTCTATTTCTTTTGGCATCAGGCAAAGACCTTTTTATTCTCCTGGTATTTTAACAATTAGTTTTATCCTTGTTTTTATTACTATTTTAGATGCAGTGTCCTGTCCATTGTTATGGTTTTGTTTTTGGTTTTCTGTTCCTTGTAAGCCATCCAGAGACTTTTTAGTAATGGACGGCATAGAAAAATTTTAAATAAAATAAATTACATAAAACCTGTCATCTTACTTACTGTTCCACAGACTTACAGGGCAAACCCTGCATTTCAACAGCAAACCCACTCTAGCTAAGCAGTATGTAGATACAGAACATAAATACAGATTTACAGAACATAAATATGTTCGCTATTTCTTCTGGAATCTGAGAACTATTGCATTCTAGGAATCCTTGGTAAGAGGAGTAACAATCAAGGGTGCCATCCTACACGTTTAGCCAGCAAAAGGGTCCTGCAGCTTCCAGCTTGGCTAACTTGCATATGCTGGTAGTTTTAAGCCTTTTTTCTGCCTAAACATCCATAGGACCTTAAAATGCTGGAGTATCCAGTGCTTAAAAGTATTTTGCTGAAAGCTAATAAATACTTTCTCTTTAACCCAGCAACGGAGATAATTTATGTACAAAGACCAAGCATAACATTCTCTGTGATTTTCACTTTGCTCTCTTCCAATAAATCTCATATTGCTTATTAAAGGGAGGGCAACGTTTGCTCAGCAAGAGTTGGCCAGACACACAGTGGTTTATTTCACTGCCTGGTGTGCTAAGAGCACACAGAGGGAATTGGGTTTTATTTAATGTTCCGCTCTTTGAATATCTGAAAGCCTATAATGTACTGGCTTAATGCCTCACCAAAATTGAAAAACAATTATCTTGCTATTGAAAAATAATTCTGTAGTAATCATAAGGAAATGGTTCTATTTCCCCCTCCCCCTCTCAATAGTCATGCAGCACAAGCATACATTGGATCTTCAAAAACTTAGAAAGGCAGGATATGAATTGAAATAGTAAACAAAAGATTCAAATGTATTGCTCAAAGGGGAGCTATGTTGGCAAGTTCTGTAGCTTTTGATTTCTGGAAGGACAAAAACAAAAAAAACAACATTACTTTTGTTTAGGGTTCAAAAAATGGCCTCCCAAAATTTCCACTGTATTAGCAGGCAGAGAATCTTGGGAAGTGATTTTGCCCATTCATCATGAAAGATGCTGAAAGTGGTCAGAATGGCTTGTAGGGCAGGGACGTTTTCTGACAACATACAGCTTTTGAAGTCTCTCTCTCCTGCTTCCTGTTGAGGCAGCAAATTCTTTCTGCAGCTGACAATTCAACCCCTCCTCCAGCAGAAGGGGATGCTGCTACCAAATACACACTTGTTGACAGAAAGAGAGCGCTGGCCCTCTAACATCTTAAACTTGTGACCATTTTCAAAAGTTATCACCAAGGAAGAAAAGGAATGGTACAGGAGACAGGAGGGCCATGCATGTTTGAATGAAAGCTACGTTTAAAGTTACACATTCATTGGATGTGCACGTGTCTGTGTTACTCTTACCTTTTTAGGCACAAAACCTCTAAGGAAGTCGATGCCATGTTCTTCCATGTGTTCTCCTATTCGGTTCGCCATGTCCTGATCAAAGCCCCTCAGAAGAATAGAACGCACCATGACAGTAACATCCAAACCAAGTCCTGCTAGAAATCCTGCACACTCAAGTGCAACATAGGAAGCTCCAACCACTAATGTCTTTCCTGGACAATACGGCAAGGAGAAGAGATCATCGCTGGAAAAATGAAAATACATACTAATGAATACCCAGGCCAAGGGTACAAGGAAAATCCATACTTCCAAGCATACACATAACCAGGAGATGAAGCAGGGGCACAGAAAAAAAAAAATCTCAACAAGGCTACGAGATTCCACCTGCACCAAAAAGCACACAAGTGACTAAAGTGAGTCATCACACACCAGTGGAGCTTCCTTCTCTAAGCTGGTTGTGAAATGGATGTAGGTATACACGTGGTTACAAATGCCTAGCAAACAGAAGAACATGTAGGTACAGAGCCTGTCTCCATTAGGCTTCCGAACCACAAACAGAAGATTTGGATCACAAACTGCAAGGCCAGAACTATTTCATTCTTGCCTGATTCTGTCCCTAGTTTGCAAGAAAGCTTAGATCTCCCTGCAGCACATTATTTATCTTCATTTTTGATCCATGTTATCACCAAGGTAGGTCTTTTTTGGTTTTCTTTTAAGGAAAGCTTGGAACTACACCATGCTGTGTCATTGTAATCAACACGCATAGTATGACACTTCAGTACACCCATGCATTTTCTGTGCATGCTCACACATACTTCACATCACCTTTAGAAGTTAAACAGAGCAAGAGAATATCCTCAGGATGAGGATCTGACAACAGCAATGCCAAAGAATGTGATATTCAAGCTTCATACAAGAATCAACAAGATGGTCAGCCCCAAACAAGGAGGCTTAGCCTTATAAAGTGTACCTGTGTACCTGACATGTTAAGAAAAATCCTATGTTTTTTCTGTTGAATGGAAGGTTATTTTGGAAAGATGAGTTTGTTGAAATGTTAAGGTTGTTTTGGTCCAAAGAGAAATGGTCTCAGTATGTGTGTAGGAAGGTGTTGGTCTAAGAGAGCACCAACTTTTCATTCATCCCACCCCGCACAAGTGATTGTTGCTATTACCCAGTTTCCCCAAACATCAGTTTGAAGTGCATTTGATCTTGATTCCCATGTTGTGGGCTTTTCTTATTTCACTTCAATGGGAAAGTGAGCATTTTTAATGCAAAAAATACATATTTTCAAAAGAACACACCCAAAATGAGCACTTTGCTACCAGTGTAAACATGCTCAGTAATTTTGTCCCTGAGTGTTTCATTCTTTTATTTGGCAGAACCTTTAAATAAATTCAAGGAAGAGGTTTTCTTTTTTCATTGGGAATTAGCTATGATGATACTCTTGGAAATAACTTTCCCCCCATTCAGGTTGTCATATTAGATATGTTATGGTATCTCTGTCCCGATGATAAACTTGCCATATTCACATGAACTAATAAAAATGTTTCCTCATGTTCTAGAATGATTTCCTTTATCTTTAGAACATTGGTTAACACCTCATAGGAAGAAACAATAGATTATGAGGAGAATCTTTGGGAGGGAGAATAAAGATAGCATAATTCACCACGGAGTCATAGCATAATTTTAGAGAAGTCTGGTCTATTACTTTACACAGTATCCACAGTCACTTCTCACATCGACCAACATGTTGCAACTACAGTATGACTTGTATTTTGGAACTGCACAAGTAAACTCCCCTTGCACATACAGAAGAAACCAGCTGAACTTAAGAGTGCTTTAAGATTCATGAAAAACAGCTCCTCCATTTTGCCCAGGAACATCTAAATGTCAGTTTAAATTTTTCAATGCCTGAGATTTGAGGTTCCTCTCATAGGATACTACCCAGCTGTAACACTGGCTGATGTACGTATGTGACAAAGCTTTCAAACAAACAAGTTAAGTTCCTTATCAATACTTATCAGAGAGAAGGATTTTGTCCAGGGAGAGGAAAAAAGATGAGTCTTTGAAGAGAGAAGCAACTTTCTCATGAGCATTCTTCCAAGCAAGCAAAAATCAGGTGCAAACAGACTGTTACATTTCAAAAATATTGGATGTTCAAACCATCATTGATACATTTCACTCATGGTATGACACCTGCAGCTACCTCCTACCACAGAGAATCATTTGCATTTGATTTTACCTGGTGATGCAATATTCTTTGTCCCCAGGGATGCCCAGGTAGCGGGGCCTTTCTCCAGTGGCAATCAGAAATCTTTCTGCTGTGTAAAACTTCTCTACTCCTTTGTTATTTGTTGCCTGTGAATGAATACCAAGGCTTAGTGAATCTTTATTCCAAGCCAGGGGCAGGGAATGGGATGAAGCGCATGCTCATTCTATTGGGTATGTAGGAAATGTGTCATTTAGAGGACCTGGCTTCCAACATTAAAACCTAAGTTGTGAAGTACTCAGAGAACTGGACCACAAGATGATACAGAAATTTAATAAATTTTGTATATATGTAATTACCCTTATGCAGAAGGAACCTCAACAATACCATTTTTCTTGGATATGGATCAAGGCAAGAGTTAAACACTGTAAAAAATGTTACTGGCCCTTTAGTCAGAATCTCAGAGGTGCTTGTGGGCTACTGTTGCTACCAAAACAAAACAAAAAACCCTGCTTTAGCACCCTTCTGCTCTTCTTCCCTAGGAACTTGCATGCTGGAGCTAACAGATAGCCATCATGACCAGTAGCCATTTATCTTCTATAACTGATTATATAATGGAGTCATCACCATGTTCTTAACGACATTCAGAACTTGGAAAAAAATGTCAGAGACCTACAGCTACCACTTATGCCTCAGACTCAGCCTTGACGTTGCAGACCCTCCCACTAGATCCTACTCTGATGCCTAAGGGAAGCGCAATTTTTTGCTTCTGCTGCATTACTAGCTGGACCTGTATATGTGCTCCATCTTCAGTGCAAGTTCATCCATCTTTCTGGCATGGCTGATAAAAAGAGGCCCCCTACTATCTGCTGTTTCAGCAAAAGGGCTGCCTCCCATCTAGCCCCAGGCAACTAACTAGAATGACCTGCTTGAGCTAGCAGTTGTATCTAGCTGGACCTTTCCACTTAAAAGCAGATCTGCCTACCAACACCTCCCTCTCAGGTGCAATGTGAACTGAAAGCATATGACAAACCATTTAGGGGAGATTTATACCTTGATTCTGTGTGGCCCAACAAATTCTCCATAAGCATTCTCATAGGTGACACTATTCTCTCGGAGAGACACTCTGTATCCCCAGTTCAGAGAACCAATATAATTTTGAATGGCTTCTGTCATCGTATCCCACCTGTGCTTTACACCTGGAGATCAAAAGGAAAATAATTTAGCTTTCATCTATGGCCTTGGTTTTCTACAACCACAACTGCCATTATTAGATCATATAATAACAGGCTCATCTGACTCATGACTGTGCCCTTCCCCCTTGAAAATTAAATTAAATTCCCCAAGGTTTGTGGAGCATTGCTGACATAGTCCAAGGAAGATAATGCGGCTAAACATAATCCAGAATATTTTGTAAGTGGTGTAGCAGTGTCCTCATAGGGCACCCAGTCACTCATTTTATTTACGCTCTCACTGAAATTTTTACGGAAGGGTCAAATTTGTTTTGATGTCATCTGCACTGCTCTGCTGATCCCTCTGCTATGAAGCAAGTCTGTGGTAATTGCCTCATACTCCTGTTTGTGAAGGTGGCACGCTGGTTATCACAAGATCTTTAAAAAAAAATAAAGAGCCTGAGAATATGCACTTTTTGCATTATGACCTTGAACACATAGAAGCCTTTAATGTTGTTCACCCTCATGCCAATTTATTCCCCATTTACTTGTTTAAATGTCCAAATAGCCGTGCAGTTATCATTATTACACTGCAGTCTCCTGCCTAGTTCCCCTCTTGTGAGGAGTCCAAGGTGGCTCCCACCTTGTGAAGCAGGTTAAGCTAAGAGTAAGTGACTGGCCCAGGGTCACCCAACGAGCCTCATGAGCAAATGGGGACTAGAAGCATGATCTCCTAGATCCCAGTCCAGCACTCTAACCACTATGCCACACTGGCTCACTATACACTCAACATATACAAAGGTAGAATTCTATGCTCCCACCTGCGTTATCCAGCTGCCACCCAAAGTTGGGTGCATCTCCGATGGCTTGCCCAAGCAAAGCCGCTTGGTGCATCAGCTTTTTCGGAATGCAGCCCACATTTACACAAGTTCCTCCCAGACCTGCAAGAGGAAAACAGGGCTGTTATGGTAGTCCTTATTTCTGTGACAGGCAGATAAAAAGCATCCCAAAACAGTTTTAGGCCTATCTGCGTGCTGCGGATTTCTTTCATAAGAAGTAAAAGTAGCACACACAGTAATAAAGGTTAAGACGCCATGGGAGAATGGTATGTACCCATCAGTATGACAGTATCTTCAGGTAAGCTTGCCTTCCCCTCAAGCTACAGCAGCAACCAGGCAGTAGTGGAATGGGCATATATGTAGAATTCCCCCTAAATCCTAGCAAAAGCCATGCATTCTCCTTCCAGCTCGACAAGCCAGCAGTGGCAGAAATGGAAGAAAGAAGCTTAAAGTTGTTGTTGTTGTTATTATTATTATAACATTTCTATGCCGCCCCTTGCCGAAGCCTCGGGGCGGCTTACAACACAATAAGATACACTGAAATACAATAGAACGTAATAAATTACCACTAAATACAAAAATACAAAAAATACACTGAGATACAATAACATAAAATTAAAATTAAAAGTTACTGTTGTTTAAGATCTAAAAAGCATCTTTCAAGCAGCTTGTTGCAGGGAAACTTGTGTTTTAGTCAGCACTCATTATTTTTCTTAAGAAAAGTGATGCTGGATCTCCCACTATGGACAATCAGATTCTTCCTGGAAGCCCAAAAATGGACAAAGGTTTTGTTTCCCTTTATTGTTGCTCCCCACCCACTCAGAATTGCATTGCCTTCGAACCTGATGTTTCCATTTGGCTCTACCCAAGGAGACTCCTCCCCGCACCCCTACTCTCATTTATTTGCCTGTTCCCTGTGGGTGAATATGGGCAGCATATTTGGTATCAGCAAATTATGCATTGTGTGATGTAATATTTATCTTATTCACAATAAACTTTCTGCCATTGATGGCCAATAGTTTGGGTAAAAGGATGAACAATGCAAAAGGCTGACAACAAAAGGCTGACAGAAAACCCCAGACTCCAGCTAGCTGCTGTTATTCAGAACAATAAAGGTTGACTTACCCCATTTGGTTCCCAAAGGAGTAGGGACAACAAAATCCAGAACCAGAACCTTCTTGCCAAGTTTGGCAGCTTCCTAGAAAACAAAGAATAAGACAGCACTAAATAGTGAATATGGATGTTAGCTCACAAGAGTTTGCAAATATCCAACATTCTTGAAATTAGAGCAGTGCAATCTTCCTGTTCAGGCTTCCAGCCGGCCGTGCCCTCTCCCATTTCATTTCCTCTTCACTGGTTTCCCAGTCTACCCACCAGTCAATTGGCATTCCATTCCCATTAAGCATTCTCAGTCTGCACTAACCCTAACCTCTTGCAAGTTTTTTAAGGGAAATTTTTTTGGTACTTCTGCAAACCTTTGGGTTCCCCACAAGACTGCCTATATTGCCCTCTTGCACATGGATCGTGCCACTGTTTTGGCTACATAAGCTCCAACAATCCAAAAATTGAGTCGGTTATTAATATATAGAATGCGGATGACTAAGATGCAGAGGGCAGATACTAAGGAATTTTAAGAATGCATTGGTGTGCAGGTGAAGAATACAGCATGTATTCGTGAGGAGTGGATACGTGCACTGGATTATGTCCCTTTGCAGCCATCCTGTGATCTTTGTCAGGAGTGGGGAGTAATAAAATAAAAAATTATACACTTGTTTGGGAAACTAAAAGGCCATTTGTGGAGCTGCTAAGATGATGACCTTCTGGGGGATAATCTGTGAAAAGCAACATGGTACTGATGGGGTGGGAGAGATGAAGACAAAGAAGGTCTGACCTTCTTCTGACTTGGTTTTCAAGTAAGGACAAGCCACCACAACTGAACTTCCCTCATTGCAGTGGCTGCCATTTTTAATACAGTCACCATCTCAGTAGGGGCACACCATAGCTTCTTGTTACATGTGAACATGCGTCGTTGGGGTGTTTGGCAAGCCCTACATAACCCACAGGCTGTTTTGAGATTCTGGGTGACTTGTCAGCTACCCCAACAACCCACCCTCATAGGATCCACACATAAAGGCAAGCTACAGCACACCTTCACTGCACTCCAAGTACTCAAAATGGAGCAAGAATTTCTGCATAAGGAGATTATGAAATGACAGGACATCAAACTTGTTACTAGAAAACATTGTCATAATGGCTATGTCATTTTCACTTTGCTCAAAGTGCATAGCATGTGCATGTGGGTGGCTTATTGCAGATACTCCATTCAACTCCCCATTCTCCAGTCTCTTCTTTGATGACAAGATTGGATTTTCACAGCAATTAATTACTCTTGAGAAAAAACAACATTCGACTGAATGCCATAGAGGCAAAGAGAGGAGGAGGAAAATAAAGCATAAGAATATGAATTTAATTAAATGTTGAACACGAATACAGCTGCCTGAATTAGCACAACTTGGCCAAATGATAGGTTGCATTCCACTACATGAATTGCCCTTAAGATTTCTGGATCACACGTCATTTAAAATGATGCTCTGAACCACCTTTTGAAAATTAGCTTTATTCTGAGACATAAAGTGAGGCATTTGTCAAATGACACTAATACATGGACACAGACTTAGCCCCCAGCTGTGGCCTGTATTAAGCATTCCAGGGCAAATCATGACGGATGAAAATGCTATGCAAGGATGAGTTCACAGATTGTTTATCTGAACAGAATAAGGGCTAATTACAAACTACACCATTCATTAACTATGCTTTAAATTGACCACTTATTTCTAAGAAAAGGCCACTACAGGGCCCTGGTCTGAAATCTGTCCTCTTACATAGATGGGGGCTGACAACAGAAAAGAGCCCTTTCAGGACCAACAAGTGGGAGGAGAGAGTTTTGACAGGAAACTGATTTGGAGGTTCTGATGCATATATGTATGCATTTATATGTGTATTTATTCATGATGCTGGAAGCCATGTGAATGGGACGGCATACAAAAATTCCAAATAAATAAATAAGAACATTTTCCTGACTGGGTCTCTCTGTGTGTAAGACAATGTGTGTGGCCTGAGTGATGGGCTAAGATGGCCAATGCTTGGAGACCTGTTGGGGCAGGATGGGACCACCAAATGGTGCTTTGCCAAATAGCCATTCCGAACAGGAATCCACAGTATCCTTTCCCAGCAGGGAATCCCTCCCACCCGCCACTCAAGAGATTGCCGTGCATCATTGGTTCCAAATACCAGCAGGGTAGCCATTTCACATGTTGCAGAAAAAACAAACAGGATGCAAAAGCTGATGAGGTTATTATGACAAACTTTTGTGGGTCAGTCATGAAATGTTACCCCCCCACACAGTTGACAACGGGGAGGGGTTTGTATGTAGGTATGCACACAAACAGATACAGTTGGAAGGCAATGTGCATGTGGGGGGGTAGTGTTAGAACAAAATGAAGTCAAAAGGTCCAATGAAAGAGGCAGGAAAGTCACAACTGTGGAGTACTTCAATAAAAGAACCGAAGAATAAAAGATTAAACCAGAACCAGTGTGACACTGACTCTCTCCCAGTCATGAATAGACAAAGCAAAGTGTAGACTACATAAATATCCAAACACAGATAAGGCATTTCAATAGCACACTAACCCAAGTCTCTCTAGCCCAACTCTGACTGATAGAATTCATCTGCAGATTTGACACTAGCTGAAATGCTTTGCATTGGAATCTCCCCTTGGAACTGTCATGCGTGGGACAAAGCTCGGAAATGTTATAGAAGGAAGACAGAAACCCAATTCACACATAAGGGCAGCAAATCATGGGCAAATCAACCCATGATTTGCTGGGGTCACGTTTGAAATATGCTATCTTCAATTGGCCTAGTCAGAGGATGCTCCCTGCCATGTGAACCCTAACACTATGGGTTAATTGTGAGGTAAAGTACAGGAAATACAGGTACAATTAGTTGGGTATATCCTTCTGAAGTGCAATAAGTACCACACTTAAAGCAATTAAATATCTGATTAAGAGATTGAGATGCATTCCAGGGCAAAGATGGTCAGTAAAATCCTGGTAGAATTATCTAGGAGAGAATTAATTAGTACCACTGTTACACTATAGGGATATGAGCCAGAATGTCAAGTATTTACAATCTGTATGCACAGCTATGGGCACTAGCAGTGAAGAACTCATGGTTTCTAGCCATTTTTCTTGGCTCACCAGCCCCATTTCCAAGCTTGAAAAATGGCACAGCCATGGCTCAGCGACAAGAACACATGCGCTGCATGCAAAAGGCCAGAGGTTCAGTCCCTAGAATGCCCAGGGGAGAATGCGAAAAGTTCCATCCAATACTCTGGAGAGGCACTGCCAGTAAGTGTTGGCCAGGTATGCGGAATACATAGCCCTCCAAATGTGAACTCCCTTCTCCCTTGCCTTTGCTGGTTCAGGCTAATGGGAATTGAAGTCCAATATCTAGAGGGCCACCCATTCTTTACTCTAGCTGCAGAAAATATTAGGCTAGATCATCTGAGTCAGTATAGGCCAGCTACTTCCATGCAATATCCTAGAGCTAGATTTTCAATTCAGCTCAGCTGTCAACTAGAAGCATCATCCTGCTTTCTTTATCTTAATATTTTTGTATCCCACCTTTTTCCTGCTAGCAACCCAAAGCACCTTGCATAATCATCTTCTTCCAGTTCATTTTATCCTCATAACAACGCTGTGAGGTGAGTAAGGCTGTGAGTCAGTGACTGGCCCAGAATCATCTAATAAGCTTCATGGCTGTGCAGGGACAACAATGCAGATTCCCCAGGTTCCAGTTCAACACCATAATCACTCTGCCATGCCGGCCAACTGGCGAATATTGGGAATGGTGGGGCTTTTTTCTAAAAATGCATAGGATTTCACCCTGAACTACTTTATTGATACAAGTATTGTAACAGCCTGGGAGATTTTGCTCTTTCCCGCCAAAGAAATACCCTTTATATATTCAGTGTTCCTACCTTCCCCAAATATATTATGCTGGTGCTGTTGAAAAGGCTTGCCTCTTTTTTTTTTTTTTTTTAAGAGAACCTACACCACTCATCAGCTTACTAAGGATTTCCAGCTCTCCAAGCAAATGAGCAGTATTCAGTCTTTCAATAATATATTCAAACTCTGTTGCAATTAATCACCAGCAGGATTTAAAAAAAAATATCTACCACTGCAGGACAATCATATTCCTAGAACATAATCTGCTGCCTGGAGTAGCAAGATCGATAAATTCAGTCTAATTGCTCCTACACTCACAAACTGGCAGCAAAGACAGGAAATAGAGTGAAAAGCTTAGGTCTGTGGTGGGAGGAAAAATTCTTTTAATCATCATATAGGCCATAGTGCTAATAAACAAAAAAATCTACTTGTTTAATTAAGCTTAGGCTCTCTTCTTAAGTACACGTTATTGTGGATTACCAAAAATGGAATACAATCTCTTGCATTTTAAACTAGTTTCTCCATTTTTAACCTGCCCCTCTGGATATTTTGCATGGGCAGCAGCACTTCAGAAAAGGCTCGGAAAAAGCCTAACAAATTTCTTCAAGCAGAAATCACTATGATACTTTAAACCAAATTGGAATGCAAATCTACATGCTTCAGAACAACGAAAATGGATATTTATTATTTACTGATTACACTTGCATGCCGCACCCCCATAGCTGTAAGGCTCTCTGGGCAGCTGAACTTACATTAAGCAACAACAAATAAAATACATCTTGCCCTACTAGCAATGTTGCAAGATACTTAAAAACACACCTATATGAAATTTCATGGTCAAGTTAAAGTTTCAGCTGTTCTTTCCCCCAAATAATTTTGTTACAGATTTCAAAATTGTAACATTTCTTATTTAGCAGGGTTTCACTTTGTGTTGTTCTTATCTTCTCAAGAATGTTATTAACAACTGGGGATGCCCTACTAAGACAAGAATACAAGGGTTAAGAGCCATGTGGCATAATAGTTAAAGTGCTGAACTGGGACACAGGAGAGCCAGGTTCTAGACCCCACTTGACCAAGCTCAATTAATGGCTTTGGGCCAGTTACTCTCAGCCTAAGCTACCTTACAAGGATGCTGTGAAAATTAAATGGAGATGAGGAAGATTATGTATGCCACCTTGTATTCCCTGCAGGAAAAAAGGCAGGACATACAAATTTCAGACCCTCCCAACCTTCCACCATTCAGATGCGTTGGACTACAACTGCCATGGGGCTGGAAGTGATAGAAGATTTCATTTAAAACATCTCGATAAAGCCAAAATGGGAAAGGCTGATCTAGATGTCTGTTCGGTTATCAGGACAGATGGGGATACTGACTGGAATCCAGATACCAAGTCTGAACTTCAGTTGGGTCAGACTGGTTTCCAGTAGAAACCATTTGAGGTGGCCCTGGGCAGGCCTGAGGGTTTCTCCATCCTAAGACTTGCTAAGCATGTCAGATGCTTCTGTTGGAGTGTGAAATCACTGCTGACAGCAACCCTCCAAGCACACTGATTTTGGAGTATGTACCAAGATCTCTTTGTATGTACCTAGAGTAGAATGCAAGGCATATTCCAGATTCCAGAATTGGCTCCATACCTTAGACAGAGAAGGTCCATTCCTGGGGTTTGCTAAAACATGGTGGGACAAAACCAAGCAGTAGGTATCAGGCTGTTTTCATGAATACGTTTTTCATCCTACCTTGGAGGCTGCAAGTCCGCCTGAACCTCCTCCGATGACAATCAGATCGTAGTCATAAGAAGGCTCCTCTGCTTGTCCATTCACATTAAGCAGCTTATGAAGTGTGCCTTCACGATGTGCCTGAATAGACAGAAAACACAGAAACTTGTCCAACATGGCACCAAATGTGATACAAGAACAACTATTGTTGCAAAAAGAAATCTGGGAAGAAAAAAGTGCACCTGGAAGTTTTTAGAACACAAGAAATGCCCAATACAAAGTCAGATGATTGGCCTTTGCAGCTCAGTATTTTGTATTAGAAGAAGCCTCCAAGGTTTCAAACTGGTGTGTTTTCCCAGCCTTATCCAGAGATGTCAGGAATTGAGCTTGGGACCCTTCTGCATGGAAAACTTGTGGTCTACCATTCAGCTACTACTTCTCTTCCCCTTTTTTGTCCACTTAGTTCTATTGCTCTGAGGCAGCCAACACCAGGATGACTTCCCTGTCCTCAGCCCTTGGCATTTCAAAGCACATATTAATAATTCCTTAGATGTACTTTCAGTTCTCCTCCACAGGTCTACAAGCTAAATGACTGACAGTAGTTATGAGCAAGCCATTAAACACAACCTCTTGGCTTTTAACCTGTACTTCGGGATAGCTCTGCTGTAGTTCCTGAAAAGGTAATCAACACCATATCTTCTGAATTACAGAAAAAAGAGGGTAGTTTGTATAAAGAATGCATCCTGAAGGGGACATTTTACACCTTTCTCAGTATCTCATTACTCCCCTCTCCAAGCTGCTTCTGAAATCCAGTATGTCAATTGAGAAGAAAACCAATAGGAACTGGGGGGGGGGGGGGGG